GCAAAAAGCTAGTTTATCATGGTTTTATTAAACTACATAGAAAAGAGATAACTTATAATGATAATTTATGCATAACTGGACAAAGGAGTTTATTGACTCATCACAAATATTGACCTTCTTCTCGAATGTTCGAGAGACAATAAAATGTATTTCTCACCTTTTAACTTACCTTATCGCTAAGTGAATACACGAACCAAAACAAGGACTTCATGAAGTAAATAACTATGATAATGATATTTTAAGAATATAAGAGAAAAGTTATTTTCTCAAGAAATGAATAAAAGGCTGACTAAGAAACAAAAAATTAATATAAAAAAAACAGTTCGTACGATTACGTAAATATATAATCACAATAGTTATAATTATTATTATTACATTTACATACCTCGTTTCTGGCTTTTCCGTAATAGGTTGAACTTGGGAGATAATCACGAACCTTATTATTATAAGATGAATTATAATAACCTTATTATTATAAGATGTATATGATTAAATTCATATGATTAAATCATCATGTTCTCATCAGATGATTTTTTTACGAACTGACATTTATATAAAGTACATTGGAGTACTCAAATTTCAAATTGCCAAAGGTGAATAATAAAAATCGTTATATATCCTAAACTATTATTTAAAATGAAAAATGATAAAAGGAACCTAAAGATGATTTAAAAATACCTATTCAACGACACCCCACTTGACATGGTATATAGTTTTTTTTTTTTTCGTTTTAACAATATGGCGTCTGGTTGTCTCTGTGGTGAATTTTGATTACTGTCATGTCTTAAGTGACACTCGCAAATTTAAACCAATCGATTGACGTAATCAAAAATCATCAAAATCGGCCTACTCATTTGGTCTCTAGAACGCCACATAGAAACAAATATACATACATAGACTGATAAACACATTACCCTCCTTTGCGTCGCGCAGTCGGGTAAAAAGAAATGGTGTTAAAAATCAAAGACAAAAAGTTAAGATGCGGATACCTAGGATGAAATAAACGGTGGTACGGCGTTTATCGTTATCATCATCATATATGTAGTATCAAGTTTACCACTTGGTGCTGTGTCATACAGACAAAAATCCCAAAAACCGGTCAAGTGCGAGTCGGACTCACGCACGTAGCAAAAAATTCATGTTTGTTGTATGGGAAATGCCCTTAAATATTCGTTTAATTTTAATTTTAATTTAATTATGTATTTTTAAAGTCATCTACTATATAAATCACAGAACATGTAAATAGATATTCTGTAAATATTTCAAGCGTGTACCTGATGTCGTTATCAATATCGAGCAAAAGCAAGCATAAAAACCACGTATGTTGTATGGGAGCCCCCTTAAATATTTATTCAATTCTGTTTTTATTATCTGTTGTTGAAGCGGCAACAGAAATACATCGTCTGTGAAAATTTCAACTGACAGCGAAGATTAGTAATAGGGTTCCCGTTTTACCCTTTGGGTACGAAACCCTAAAAATAAAAGAAAGTATAGAAAGTAATACAAAATATATTATCACTAAAATAACTTTTTATTAACTTATTTATACACTTTTTATAGGGTAAATTGATAAATACGAGAGACAATTTCTAGGTTGGTATTTAGTAAATAGCACAGAATTTAAAAAAAAGTTCTATGGTAAAAAAACTTGTAGAAAAAATAAACAATAATCATGAAATGGTTATTATAACCAATCGTTAAACATACTTACACATTTCCTATTCTAAAATTGAACCTGAAATAAATTCAAAAATAGATTAGACGATAGAATTGTGCCAAAAGCAATATTCGCCGACATTAATACTGAAATTAATATAGAAAGCACATCATAACGGAACCGTGTCCTTGTGGTTATTTATAAAAATAGAGAACAGAAAAAAATAAAGGGTCGAAAGTTCTGGTACTTTCTATCCAAACTGTCTTCCATTTCCACCCATCTACTCAATGGAAACGTACGATCAAAACAGACAGCTGTTTGTTTACCTGTTAATAGGGTTGTCGATTAACACAAACGATAAATAAAACATTTAAGCATTTTATTTGATTTCGAAGACTAAATTTACTTTCCAAAACAAAGCTGTATGTTATTAAAAAAAAAATGTATATTTCGCAATATAGCTAAGTATATTTTATTTAAAGTTAATTAAGTATGCTTTTGAAACTGTTCCATTAACGTTTCTTTAGGTTCAGACTAAGAATAAGAATTAAATGATAATCAAACAAATACATTACGAGGTGGTAGAATTGATTGTTTTTTTTTTGATATTTAACTATGCTTGTATACTTATTTAAAAGTATAAAAATATTTTTAGATTCAAAAGAAGTTATTTGAATAAGCAAAAGCGGTCCATTCATTCCATAATACTAATACTTATGCAAAACTTATATATAGGCTTTCACTATACGTATCTAAATATATAAACAAGTATTGTAAATAAAGAAAACAGATAAATAGTAAATATTAATTTAAGAAAATAAGTTAAAATGAAGCAACCCAAAGATTGAGTTGCCAATTTCGGAAGAAGTTTCTTAAATTATCTATCACTGTTTTATCCAATTAACTTTTTTTTTTTAATATGGAATGTAATGAAAATAAATAAATAAATAATAATGCTTAGGTTTTCAGAGTCACGTTTTTTTTACTCTAAATAAAAGAAACTTGACCTTATTATGTTTAGTGAAAAATTAGACAAAATATTTTAATGATATACATATATTGTCGCAGCCAACTGGTTAAACAGCCATACAATTGGGCGGTTAGCCATTTTATTTAATACGTCTAGTTTTCTAGTTGAATCATAATGTCATTTAGACCGTTCAACAAGACGGCTGATCACGTGACCTACAGGACCAAAATAACTTTGTTGTTTATCATTTTATGTTTTTATTAACTTTTGTTGCACCAGACTTTTAAATCGTATTAAAGATAGTAAAATAATCGCATTCAAATTCATTGCTTACTCTGCTTTTGATATATCTTGTCTTTGTATAATTGTATTAGTATTAAGAATTTATTATGAAAGCCGTATTGTAGAACGTTGCGTTCAGCTACTTGGCCGATTGAATGTTGGCATGTTAATTAAATGCCACTATTCAATTAAATGGTTAGCTGCGCAATTGGTCGGCTGATTATACCACTTGACCGCTGCACATACATAAAAACAAAGAGGCGATTAAACATACTGACTTGTTAAAACGCATGCTATGAATTTAGATTAATGTCAAAAAAAAAAAACAGATAAGAAATATAAATTAGTTTGTATATTTTATGGTCAATAAAAACTCTAAACTTACATAAAAGTCCTATGAAAACAACTTCTTTTGTATATTTATTAAAATACGCGAAATGAACTGGCATCAACTATAATTCTGAAAAACTACTACAATTATTTTAAAACAATTTTGTCACAATAAACTATTAATTATTTGAAATGTAAAAAAAATGTCATAACTTTATAAGTTAATAATTATTCTGTATTATAGTTGACAACCCTATCTGTTTACTAAAAATAATGCGATAGCATTTTCTCTCTCACTCGCACTTACGCATTGAACATTCTCAATGAGTGTGGTAGTTTCTGGACAATTCTCCCGATTATGGCCACCTGTAAGGTAAAAAATTACCCACATAAAGAATTAAATTCGTCAGAATGGCTAGGTATGCGTTTTTGTTAGATGATTTTAAAAATTGCTATGTTCTTTCACATGTAAAGAAAAGAAATTATGTAAATTACATATATTTATCATTGTTTCATTTGTGATTGGATGTTAAAGTAGTCATTATTCTAAAATATTTTAATAGTACATTAAAAACAGATAAATAGTAAATACATATAAGTATTTTCTTATATGTATTTTTTATCGGCCGGTTTCTGAACGAAATCTCAACTGAGTATTTTGAAAAACTTAAGATTTTACGTTACACACGACAAAAAGGTCTAGTTTTATTGAACTGCTATCAACTGATCATTAAAAAAATAACATCAGAAACGAAAACCTGTTTTAAAAGATCATCTTAAAATGGTTTAAGTACGGTTTGAGATATACATACTTAATGTTAAATTCTCATTTCAGAAACGGGTGTAATAACTACATATATTGTTAAATATATATTGTACAAAATGACTTAAATTAAAAAATATGTGTTGTTAGAATATAGTTCAATGTTTATAATAATTATATTAACAGTTCACTTGCTAGATTATGATACACACCCATGATCTTAATTAGCTAATTGTGTTTCACGTATTCTACTGACATCAGAATTTAATTTAATACACATATAATTACATTATTTGATGTTAATAATATAACAACTATTTGAAAGCCATAGTTAATTTTTCTTCTTTTTAGAAGTCCTAACATAATAATATTAATATTAATTTTAATTAATTAATATTTATGCAGTTAATTATAAAGTAGCCTGACTAGTAATCTTAATGAGGAAGTATTTAAAAAAAACATTAGATCCCGAAATCAAACTAAATGTCGCTACGGTACGTTCTTGATTTCTCCATGACTTCCGGTTAACTTTCATGTTTTAAAATAAATTAGTTTTTAAAACTCAGTAAACAAGTCATATTCTATTTGTATTGATATCTAAGTTTCGAACTTATCAAATTTCACTTTTTTAATATATTAGTTAAAAGGAACGGAAATGACTGTCTTTGGTCCATTCATTTCCGGGGTGCTTTTTTGTTCTTTTGTTTTGTTTTTTTTAAATATTTCCTCATTATTTTAAAAGAAACCATCGATATAATTTTAATAAACGACGAGTGTAGTTGTTTCGTATTTTCCCCATTAATGGCTAAATAACGACGCGTTGGTCACCCTGCCCTAAAAAAAATGACGTTGAAGTTGGCGCTTCTAGAACGCAGCGCTCTAATTGGTCGGTCGTTTCCCTCTCTAGATTGTTCCATACAGACTTTGTTCTGATTGGTTCATACGAGAATGTGGTAGAATGTTCTACGCTTCCATTCGTTTGAATATATAAGCCGCTGCGGCGCGCGGGAAGGCAGTATTATTTGAAACGTGAAACGATTAAGACGAAGTGAGGAGAGTTCGGTACAAACCGAAGCGAATCTACGAGATATATTAAAACGTTACTGGTGCAACAAAAGTGAATTTGAATTTAAGAAGATAAAATGCCAGCTGTTGGAATTGATCTTGGAACAACCTACTCTTGCGTTGGAGTTTGGCAACATGGGAACGTGGAAATCATTGCAAACGATCAGGGCAACAGGACGACACCGTCATATGTCGCGTTCACAGATACAGAGCGGCTTATCGGTGATGCAGCGAAGAACCAGGTCGCTCTCAACCCCAGCAACACCGTGTTCGACGCTAAACGACTGATCGGTCGCAAGTTCGACGATCCCAAGATCCAGCAAGACATGAAACACTGGCCTTTTAAAGTAGTCAACGACTGTGGCAAACCGAAGATTCAAGTGGAGTTCAAAGGCGAAACGAAGAGGTTCGCGCCTGAGGAGATCAGCAGTATGGTTCTAACAAAAATGAAGGAAACTGCCGAAGCCTATCTCGGGACTACAGTGCGCGACGCGGTCATCACAGTGCCGGCTTATTTCAACGACTCCCAGCGTCAGGCCACCAAGGACGCCGGAGCTATCGCCGGACTGAACGTTCTACGTATCATCAACGAACCAACGGCGGCTGCGCTCGCATACGGTCTCGACAAGAACCTAAAAGGCGAACGAAACGTGCTCATCTTCGACTTGGGCGGCGGCACTTTCGACGTTTCGATTTTGACCATCGACGAGGGGTCTCTATTCGAAGTGAAATCTACCGCAGGCGACACTCACCTAGGAGGCGAGGACTTTGACAACAGGTTGGTGAATCATCTAGCGGATGAGTTCAAACGCAAATATAAAAAGGATTTGCGTATGAACCCACGCGCGTTACGCCGCCTTCGCACTGCCGCCGAGCGCGCTAAACGTACCTTGTCATCGAGTACTGAAGCCACCATCGAAATCGACGCACTTTATGAGGGCATCGACTTCTACACGCGCGTTTCTCGCGCCCGCTTCGAAGAATTGTGCGCAGATCTGTTCCGCGGTACCCTCGACCCTGTGGAGAAGGCTCTCAAGGATGCGAAGATGGACAAGAGCCAGATTCACGATGTCGTTCTCGTTGGAGGCTCGACGCGCATTCCAAAGGTCCAGAGTTTGCTGCAAAACTTCTTCTGCGGGAAGAAATTAAATCTATCTATTAATCCGGATGAAGCTGTAGCTTACGGAGCTGCAGTTCAAGCTGCGATCCTCAGTGGAGCTAGCGATTCTAAGATCCAGGATGTGTTATTGGTCGACGTCGCTCCTCTGTCTCTCGGTATTGAGACTGCAGGCGGTGTGATGACTAAGATCATCGAGCGCAACTCTAAGATCCCTTGTAAGCAGTCTCAAACATTCACCACCTACTCTGACAACCAGCCGGCCGTCACTATCCAAGTGTACGAGGGTGAACGCGCGATGACCAAGGACAACAATCTGCTCGGCACGTTCGACTTGACGGGCATCCCGCCAGCACCACGAGGAGTGCCCAAGATCGACGTCACCTTCGACATGGACGCCAACGGCATCCTGAACGTGTCTGCTAAGGAGAACAGCACGGGTCGTAGCAAGAATATAGTGATCAAGAATGACAAAGGCCGCCTATCACAGGCTGAAATCGATCGCATGCTATCGGAAGCAGAAAGGTATAAAGAGGAGGATGAGAAGCAGAGACAGCGCGTGGCATCTCGTAACCAACTCGAGTCGTACGTGTTCAGCGTGAGGCAAGCCTTGGACGACGCCGGTGAGAAATTAAGCGAGCAAGATAAGAACACCGCTCGCAACGAATGTGACGAGGCGTTGAGATGGCTGGACAATAATACCTTGGCTGAACAAGAAGAGTACGAACACAAGCTGAAGGACTTGCAACGAGTGTGTTCGCCCATTATGAGCAAGATTCACGGCGCCGGAGGAGCTGGTGGTATGCCCGGTGGTATGCCCGGTGGTATGCCCGGTGGTATGCCCGGAGGTTATGGAGGTTACCAACAACAAAGGAACGATGGCCCCACCGTAGAAGAAGTCGATTAAACTTCACAATGCCAAAGTATTCCTGAAATAGCCATGTGATATTAATTTTAAGACTGATAAGTTTAATTTATTCCGATAACGCAATTTAATCATCTGTTTGGACCTTTGTAAGATCATTTATTTGGACACAAAAATATAGATGATTTAATTAATATTTCTTTGTTTTATTTAACATTAGAATAGTAGGCCTTAATCGTTTTAATGATTGACTAGTTTTCGTAATATATATTTCTGTGGCCTTACTATTTTTTGAAAATAGGTATTCTGTCGCCCATGTTCAACTATAGGATTCTTCTAACGGTGATAGAATTTCTGAAATCTGTCTGGTATAATATCAAAGTCGATTCGAAGTAAATGGAGAAAACTATCTATTTTCTCCTCTTTATAATATTAGTTAGAAAAAATCTAGTCCAAATCCACGAAACAAACCAGGGGGCCAATTCTACTAAATAAATTTTGTTTAAATCGAATCGAAAACGGAACGAAACCGAACGAAACTACAACTTTTAGTGGTTTTCCTATTCTACTCGGTGTCAAAATGGCGTCAAACGATACAGTTCCGGTTCTATTTTAGTTTAGCTAACTATCGATCAACAGAAACTGTAAACGGTATTCTACTCGCTCAATCGAACATAGAACTATACAGATGTAGTTATGCAAACCGGAACCAACCCACAAATCTGTCAAAATCGAATTATGTGCAGAGAAGCCTAAAAGTGTTGCAATTAAACTCAAATGTTGTAAATTCACAAAATTTCTTGATAAATAAATAAAATAAAATATATTCTACAAACAATTATTACTAAAAACAAGAAACCCATTTTTCTCAAAACTGACATCATGTGGCTGGTTTGCATAACTACGTCCATATACTTGAGTCGATCGTCGGCCCTTATTCCACTAAAATTTTGACACTTCGTTGGATCGAAACGCTACTGAAATGTTACTAAATCCATGCTAAATCCGAACGTTTCATCTGTCAAAATTAACGGTTTCTAAAAAGTTGCAAATTTCTACTTTTTGACGATCGATAGTTAGCGTTTAATGATAGATGTGAAACAATTTATATTATTTAAAATTTTAAGAGGTGCAATTAGGTACCCCCAATTGCTGAGTGAAATAAAATGCCTTGATCCATCTTCAGAATTGATAATTAAAAACATTTTGCCCTACAAAAGTAACTTCGGCAAACATAGGTATTTGTAGTGTTTGTATAGAAGAAGTTTTATCTCGGTACATTGGAGAGCTGCGAAACGTGTTCATCGGTACCTGAAGGCTATAAAAAATAGGAAAGTGACCTATAACAATAGTGGTGATCTAATCGGATTTGCTGATGCCGATCATGGTGGTAATCTGGTGGACAGACGATCCTATACAGGATATGTTTTCCAAATGTGTGGTTCAGCAGTGTCATAGGAATCACGTAAACAGAGAACCGTTGCAACATCAACAACAGAAGCTGAGTACATGGCTCTAAGTGAAGCCTGTAAGGAAGCCATCTACATTCGCTCATTACTAAGCGACATCTTTTGCTTTTCGTCACCCATCACCATTAATTGTGATAATCAAAGTGCCATCAAATTAACAAAAAACAACACGCATCACGCCCGCACAAAACATATTGATATTAGACATCATTTTGTTTGTGAGTCTATATCCACTAAACAAGTCTATGTGTCATTCATATCATCAGCTCACCAAACAGCAGACATTCTCACAAAGCCACTGCCTAAGCTGAGACACTATATGTGCCTAACTAATTTAGGATTATTTTAGTGTTATTTGTTTTGTGTTATTAGGTTAATTAGGTTAGGGCATCATGTTAAGGTGCTTTTGATATTATAGTGTTTTTGTACATACAGTGTGTTTATATAAAGGGTGTACATAAGTGTCCTGATTACGGGGAGGTGTAGATAAAACCTTTTTCTATATTAATCAGACACTGGCATCTTTTCGTATACCTTTATGAATTAGTATTTTATACACTGTTTTTTGTTTTTATGTCACTCTCTTCATTACTCTCATCTGACTTTTATGTATTTACAACGTGAAATATATTAAATACTCCAATCCACTGTGACTTTTAATTCCTACATTTTAAGAGTTTGTGAGTGAGTTATCAATAGACTGTAAAGAACATAATAAGTTGTGTAAATCCATTGATATGTTTGCTTTATCATTAATTATTTATAAAAATACATTATATTAAGGTACCAAAAAATTTTAATCTTTAACTGTCTAGCACTTCAAGCATATAAAATTTTCTATCCAATATTATTTATTTCACAAAGATACAAGGATACTTTCAATGAGCACCCTGACGTCTGAAGTAAATATACAAAATCTGGGTATCAAACACCAGATTCCTCATCTACCTCATGAGAACATAGCAATCCATGTGATATAAATTATGTAAAATGATTAGAAAATAAAATGAAATTGAAAACTATGGAGCTAGATAAACAAGTGTGATAGTGCATGCATATGTTTAATAAACTTTTTATGTACACCATTTCATCTATTTGTTATAGATAGTTGTGTAATTTTGTGGTTGCTTATTGATATGTAAAAATGTTGGCAGACTTTAAAAATAAAATAAATTATATCTTGATTATTAATCTTAAATTATTATTTTTTATTAAAAACTTACATTTTATAGATAAATTAATAGGTTTTCATTCCTCTATGAATTTGAAATGTTGAATTCATATTATGTAGATTCTTAACATAAATAAGGTCCACCTAGTTGAGGCATGTAATGTAAATTAAAATTGAAAAATTATATTTCTGTTAAAACTTTACATAATTATAAACAATCATTGTAAATAGGAACATTGTAAAAATCATTATTAGATTGTAGGGGCTTTTGGCTTTAAGTAAACTTATCTATGATTATAAAAACATGAATTTTTGAATATTTTGTATTGAAAAAAGTAAACTTTTGTAGTATTTTTATAGGAAAACTTAAAAGTGTGTATTTACAAGCATGTGTGGAATTCCAATAAAAATGGCACTGAAAAAGTCCTTGTTTACAAATTAATTAATTTATCATTATTTTTTCTGATCACTTTTGCATTTGGAATACTATATCGATATTTATCTTAAAGGAAAATAATTAAAAAACCCACTTCAAGCAATTAGTGCTTGAGGTGGGATTTAAACCCATAAACACTCACAGTCTGGGCGTCTGCTAAAACCAATTTAACTACCAGATAACCAGCAGGTTTTGTGAATTTAAGAATTACTTACATTACTAGTGAGCATATGCTCATTTATGTTTAGGAAGTTCACCAAAACTATATTAATAATACCATTATAGAGAATAGAATAGAAAATTCTTTATTGTTAACATTACAGAAGTATACAAATTTAAAACAGTTTAACAAAATAATGTAACAATTGGCGGCCTTATCGCTTAAAGTGATTTCTTACAGGCAATCATGGGATGGAGAGAGAGAGATAACAATTTATGAAGACAGGGGTGTAAATTTTATCAATAACATTAAAAAGAAAATATGATCAAATAATAATCTTAATTAAAAAATTATAATTATGAATATTTTTTTCTGACATAAGTATTACTCACTTTTTTATTTGGAGATTATAATATTATAAAGGATTATTACATCATATCATCATCATTTAAAGGATTGTTAAATAGGTAAATATACTGTTTATAAGATTTGATTCTGAATTATTTTTAATTTAAAAAAATTACATAAAATTGAGCTTAGCCGCAGCTCAGTTTTATGTAAAATTTGAAATAACATGAGGCTTTCTGTAACCATATATTAAGTTGCGTGCAAGATAAATGTTCAGCCTAATTAGTATTACCTACATGAAAAATAAATATTCTACTGTTTTTGACAACAAGTTAAAACCAACCACCAATTTTAACCCAAAGAAAACTGTCATACACTATGATGGGTTACAATTTAGAACAAAAAAAATAAGCCTGTGAATCAGGAGCTCTTGTTCAATTTTGCAGGAATTTATATGTGTAAGTTCTTTTATATCAGTTGAAACTTATACTTAATTTGCTCATAGTCAGCATGGATGACAGCTGCGAGCAGATCTATGCAATTTAATTTGTATACAACTTAATGTGAAAGATATGTCAAATCATTAATAATTTTCTCTGATCTTACTTATAATATCTAGTCAATAATGACATTTCTAATGGGTTTCTATAACAAACATTGTTTTAAATTTAATCTTGTATAGATTTTCCACAGTATATATTATGTTGCCTTGCTTGATTCGGTGTACAGATGTAGGTATAGCCAGATTTCGAAAGATATTGGATTCATTTCATCATCAATAATTCTCTCTTAAATGTCTACTTTGAGTCGACTATCGTTTATCTTCTTCACTATGTTATTGATACGTATGAATATTTATTTTCAATCGAAAACTTCTTCTTTTATTAAGGGATTTCGCATAATTCTGCCAATTTCACGTGCGTAGCCAATACATGGTATGAATTATTTTATAAAATTAATTTTGTAAATAATATTTTCAAGTATAATGTTTCACTTTCTATTACAGTTTAATATTACAAAAAAATACACATATGGGGATTGTTTTAGTAGATATCCCATATTAAATTGTCATTTACAATTCAATTTTGTCAATTTCATTCTTCTTTTATTAATGGTATATCTGCGCATTTCACACAATTCTGCCGAAGTCAAGTGAATAAATTAATTTCTACATGTAAAATGATTAAATGAAAGATTAATTAAAACATTGTATCATTGTGGTTTGTATTGACAAAAAGTGAATTGGTGTTGCAATATGAAAATCAAACATCGATTGGAAAATAATCGATTAATTCACTATATGTAATAGAACTGCAGTAACATTTATTGAATAAAAAAAACTTTAATATACTTTTAGTTAATTTTGGTGCAATTTTGCATTTTTCCTAAGTTTTACGGACTACTACGGTTGTTGATTCAACAATGCCCAAATAAATAAATATATATATATATTATTATTATTATGTAATTTCCAATGCCCGTAATTGGAAATGTTATATGAAAACCTAATGAAGTCCCATAAAGTCACAATATGAACTATCCATGTAGTTTGATGAAGTCCGATGATATTCAATGAAGTTTAATGAATTCTGTTTAAATGGATTGAAGTTACTAAAGTCATATGCAATCATCATTTAACTTTAACATTTAATTTTTAGTACAAACAAATATATAAATTTAATGATTATTTTTGTTGTACATTCTTTTGAAACGGAGTTGTTTAAAGTAAAGTATACACCTCTGGATTAATGCTCGTCCTAGTCTTGGACTGATTGCATACCTCACTTATTACAGTTTGTTTGTGACCGAAAATGAGTCAAAACTTTTCCGTTCACGGCCTACCTATGTAGGTACCGTTTTATATTACGGAATCATATTATTCACTTTCATGCTACTTTATCTCACATAATAACATTTATTTTGCGAATTAAAACTCGGTATAAACAATAAAATAAACCAACACCATTCGAATTTTGAAACTTAACTCTTTAAGCTTGACGTTATCTTTAGTCGACGCCAGGATTTATAGTATTTCATCTGACTTTTTTGTTAATTAAAAGACTTAATTATATCGGATTTATGCTTTAAATATTAAGCATGTTTAAAGTTGAGTGCTTAATAAAAGTTAGAATTGGGTATATGACGATTTTCTGAAAACTAATTAATTAAAATAGTTGTTTGATACATTATAAACACACTGTCAATATATTACATGAGAATCTGTTCTATTTTCGATGAATATAATTGTTTAAATCTACAGATTCTAAGAAATAAACTTTTATTAGATTATTATCTAACATGATGATAATAGTACGAAACTTATTTTTATAGTGTCAAATACCCATAATGATAAAAATATTAATTATAAATTCGCGTTTTGGGTATTTTCCCTTATAGCTTAACACTTAGGTATGCACTTTCTTAATGTAGCTAATATTCGGGTGTTTCGTCCGTATTTTAAAACGTTCGAATAAGAATATAATAGATTCATTACGTACAGAAATGATAAAAAAATGAAGGAATGAATAATCATTAATCGTCTCCCGTTTAACTAATAATTTCATTTATTTTATTCTGGTAACACTAATGACAGCTGTTTGGTTCGGCTGCGATTTGGCTCCGATTACGTTTCAGTTTAGTAAACGTTCGTTTGATAATTTACGTTAGCGGAATGCAAATTTACAGCAAAAATCGAAACGTAACCGTTACAGAAACGCTATTGATGATCGATCGTTGTAAATTAGTAGAATTGGCCCCCAGGTTTGTGGATATCCTATACATACAAATATTCTGATTACTAAATAAAATTTAGAAAATATTCTTTAAGATAATCGATAATATTTGGAAATCGGAGTGAAATAAAAGCGCGTAGTAAAGAAGTCTAGTCGTTATTTGTTAGGTACTAGAATATGAGTCGCTTTTATAGTGTATTCCAATGTTTATCCTTGTAGGAACAATAAAATATGATGTAAAAAGAACCAGAGTTATCCATAATTCTAGCTAAAATACTTATAAAAAAAAATATATAGAACCGACTTTAATTAAACTAAAAAAAGTGAAAAAAGTTGAATAAGTCGCTTTTGAAATAAGTATTTTTTTTAACTTTTTAATTTCACGTTTTTTACTGTAACTGATATTTTTATATAATAGGTAACACTAAAAGTACTTTTCTGAATACCTCGTTAAAGTGCGAACCTCCATTTTTTAGCCTGTTAATATACCTAAAACCTTCTAAGTCTGACAAATATTATGCTGAAAATAGAAATGCTTTCGATCAAAAAAAAAAATAGGATCGGTTCACTCTGTAAAAAGTTGATGTAGCAAATAACACGCAAACTTAATGCAAGTTTAAGACTTATAGGGTCTTCTCATAGATGCCATTGCCAGATTTGGACTTGGATTAAAATGGGACTTCACGGCAAGCACTAGCTGTCATATAAAAAAAAGAATCATCAAAATCGGTCCACCCAGTAAAAAGTTATGAGATAACAAACATAAAAAGAGAACCTCTTCCATTTTGGAAATCGGTTAAAAATACGTCTAGATACGTATTTTTTGCATTTAATTAAATAAGTAATAGTTTAGATAACGGGCATTATAGTTGAGGAGTGGGAGCTCGCTACGTTACAGCTTTGTAGAAAATTTATAACCGTAAATTTATTGATTATCCATAAAATAAAAATTAATCATTTTTAACTGTGGTGTCGTTAATAATGAGTTTGCATTGCATTTACTTTCTTTTAAAACATTCACCTAAACTTTCAGATAAAACGTGGACGAATTAATTATTTAAACTGGAATCCGAACAATCACGCACAACATGGCAACCATAAACAAACATAAAAGTAAATAAACATAATTAGGTTTAACTTGTTAGAAAATGTTTAATTAATATAAAACTCATTTCATTATTTCAATTATTATATTATAGAATAAAACATCATTCACCTATACTTGTTCGTCAATTAATGCGAACCGGCAAAACATTGCTGCTCTAAAATGTCAGGCGTTATTATCTGGCGAAGGTTTATCAAAAATATTATATTAACACACACTCAATCTGTTCTATAGGAATTTGTAATCGTATTTAGATAATTTTCTCTTTAGAGTAAACTGGTATTTTGATAATTTGGTGATTGATTATCTACAAGAAAAACAAGAACAAGAATGAATCAATTTATGTCTTAGAATAATAGACATGTGTTTAAATAAAAGTGCTCTATTATGAAATTTTAATTTCAATTTTAGTCTTGGCATCATTACGGTAAATTTCCTAATACACAGTAAATATACAAAATATTTTCAATACGGCACAACAATATAGTGTTACTTAGCCGTTGTATTATCCTCACTATTTTTGGCTTATGTCATTAATTACGCAGCTTGCTTCATGACACATGTTTATTTATATTTAATTAATATTTACGTATACGATAATTTAAGTAAAAAGTAACAGTTCGTCCAAATTCGTGCGCGTTGTGATCGTTTCGTGGTACCCCACCTTCTACTTCGCACCCAGTGAATAAGTTATGCTTAAATATTTTAGTTTTACAAAGAAGTACAGCTACGATGCCGCAAGTAAAAAAGGTTAAATTAGGTACAAAAAAAAATGTTTTATTCTATAATCTACGCTAATAAATGGGCTTTATAAAAAAATGTAAACATGTTGTATGTTATTCAGAAAAAAACTGAGAAAATTAAGAATAATTAAAATATCCCTAGACGACGTTGATGTGTGTATTAAGATAGTGCTAGTATGGACAATGAGTCATGCACTGCAGATACAGCCGGAAACAATGGCTTAACGTGCTTACCGAAGTACGGAGATAATAAAGTTTTGGCCACCCATCCTACGACCTGTCCTTGCAAAAGTTTCTAAACTTCCGCATCGGAGACCGAACATGGTTACCAGTGGGCTATCGAGGTCGTTTGACCTCTATAGCCTATTGGAGTTGGAGTAGTGAAAAAGACTCTGATTTGACATGTCTTATCGAACCGATTTTTATCACTACACAGTTTAATTTCTGTTATAATTTAGTCGATTTAAGTTTTGGTTTCGCAAACAAGTAATATAGTCGTGATTTCGCGATTAGGGAACAAGATAACAAATGTCAACTTTCATTCTTAAATATCATTTATTCTTAAAACTCATTTCAGTGCGCCTTTGTTTAAATGACTTGTGATAATTAACTTATTTATATAATGTTTAATTAATATTAATTCTATGAAGATTCATCTTTCTGAATATATTTCGGAGGCACACGTTATTTATGTTACGAGATATCTTGGTACAAAATTATTTGAATGGAAAAAATGGAGAAGAAACCGACAACATGGATTACACCTTTACAGAAACAAGTAAGATTTTTATACTATAATAGTTTCAATTAAAAATAAATTAAACCGTGCCTATTTGTGTATAAAAAACAAGTTTGTCTTGCATTTGGGTGGTTCTGGTAGAACTTTCTGGGAAGAAGTCTATTCTTTGATAAATTCTCTCATAGGTACTTTAGAGTGTTGGTAAAAGAACTGTTCGGTAGGTTTACATCTTTAGGATCGAATACTATAGATTAGGTACCTACCTAGTTCATCATCACCATTTCCATATATTCATGTCCCGTTGCTGAGCCACAGGCAACGATGATTGAGGCTAAGGCTTTCCCTAAGGATGAAATCTATAAGGTAGAGATCTAATAGAAAAGGGAGGATGGTCCAACCTCGTGTACCTTATGCTGAATGGTGGGTGTTTACGACTCCAGATGAAATCGGTGGGTTTATTGTCTTATTTCAAATCTTATTACAATCCCTTTCAAAGGTATAGCGATTATGATTTCGATTTAATAAATTTAAAAAATGACTTAAATCGAAATTGCTTTCGAAACGAATGAACATCATTCGTTTCATTTTGAATGTTCAAGAAACATCTTAATAAAAACTTCTTAACTTAACCGTGTGACGGGTTCGATGCATAAGCAAATGAATAAAAGGCTGACTAAATTTGAGAATTTGATTTAATAGGGGTAAATAAAAAAACCCTTTTCTTCGGGTTTAGTGATAACTTTACTTAATTGATTGGATATAGTATACATTTACAACAGTTAATAATAAATAGATTTAAATACTACGACAAATTGCTATTGATTGAAATTAAGATGTATAATGTTTCTAAACTGACATTTATAAAGAGCATACTGAATTACTCAAAATTTCAAATTACGAAAAGTGAATAATAATCACCCATCCTATGACCAGCCCCCGCGAAAGTTGCTTAACAACCGTATCGCAGATCGAGCGCGCTAACCATTGCGCCATCGAGCTCCTTAAGTCCTTAACTCCAGTTCGTGAGTAATTTTCAAATAATTGAAAGATATTGCAATAAATTTTATAATTAGACTATAAGCCCCCGGACCCGGATTGCTTAAAGTGCCTTCCGCAGCACGGAAATAATATTTTGATTATATATCCTATTGCAGCCCTTGCGATTTGATGAATCATTGCTCTTTTTCAAAAATAATAAAATCTGCTTAAGATTTTTTTGAAGAACGATAAGGACGGAGGTATCAAACAAGAAGTTAAAATTTCAGTAGGATCACCCGGTTGCTTAACTTCCATATTAAATAGAGCGAACGCTCTGTGAACCATTGAGTTATAAACGCACCTCACCTACAGATCAACATTTATAGATGTAATTTGATGTCTTTGGATGAATACAATTACTTATTCAGTGGCGTAACTATACCGTTTGAGGCCAATGGCAAATTCATCGGATATTCATTTTTTTTACTAATTCCGTATTAATAAATGTTAGGAGTAAGGAATCTCTTCTGACCGGGGACCCCATCCAGCTGGAGGCCCGGGCATTTTGCCGACTTGCCATTCGGTAGTTACGCCACTGTATCAATTTAAGGAATATTAATTGCTCAACAAATTAGTCTAGAAACGTGTGTTCCTAACAAGTTACACCGTTGCTCGTTTGGAATTAGTAATTATTCCCAAACAATAAGGGCGCTTGTGCACTGCACTGAATTTTCAGGTACGGCGGTCCGATTTTTTCCGGTCGGATATGTCAGGCCATATAAAGGTAATGCTAGCCTGTCAGGAATTTTACCATCCGGGATTTTACTTTTCTCTATTCCGGACCGGTATTTTCAGGTTCGTGATGACGGCAATGAAAAACGTGTTTACGCATGTGCACTGCTGTGTCCGCGATCCGGAAAATACATAAGAAATAGGCTTGGGAAAAAATAATCGATTTGTGTAAAATCGATATTTTTTTGGGCGATATTGTTAATTTCCAATAAACTTATAATCGATATTTATTTTAGATTATAAAATGCTATATTTTATATGATGATTTAATATAATTGGTAAATATCACTGAATATGCTTTGGCAAACTCGGTATAGTTCTAATTTGATCAGCGTATGGTTCTAGTATTGATACTTAGCAAGATTTTTGAATCGTATTAAAAGTATCGATAACTTAAGGTAAAATAAATAAGTGTTGTTACGCTTAGACGCCTAAACAACTGAACCCATCTCAATGAAAATTAATATAGTACATAGACTTAACTTTAAGAATGGACATAGGCTACATTTTATCGCGAAAATAGGGGATGAAAGTTTGCCTGGAAATTTGTCATTATCAAAGACAATTGATAATTATAGATAAATATTTGATAACAGAAGTAATAATAAGGAATTAACAGAAGTAATTAAGTGACACTCAATGTCTTTTTTCGCATTTAAGTCTATATTGTAATAAAATTTGAAATGAATGTTTGTGTCATAAATAAATTTAAAAAAGAAGTATTCTAAGGGAAAAATATTTCTGCTCAAAGAAACCACACCACGCGTATAAAATTATGCCTATATATAATACAGTCAACTGATCTCGTAACGTTTATTTAGAATATTAATTCTCCGCTTACCCGTGTAAGTGCCGTCACTAATATCGATTTGTTTACGAAATGGCGCCACCGATCAGTCTATCTCTGTAATCGCTTAAAGTTGTTTTTACAAAACTTTGAAAAAAAAATAGCATGTTTATAAATGTAAACATATATACTAGAACATTATCAGTAATTTTATTCTAATGTCACAGATATTTTTAGCTATTGTATGTGAATAATGCTGTCTCTAAATTAGTAAGGGTATGAGTTTTTACATCTGATAGTAGTCAATCGATAGTAGTAAAAAAATGCTTTCGTCTTGGCTCAATTTATTATGGTTTATATAAAATGATCAGGTCATTATTTAGGTACCTTTCTACGTCTTCGAACGCAATAACCGACGTTCCAAAAATTTTATCGTATCGAGCGTAAGTGACGTGTAGCTTCAAAGAGAGCTGCCCTACATTGCGCCGCTTCGATCAGGAAAAAAACGGACAAGTGCATAAGCTACTCATCCGGGTTTTTCATATCATTCCGGACCGGAAAATATCGGACTGCCGGACCTGAAAATTCAGTGTAGTTCACAAGCGCCCTAAAATTCCGGACGGTAAAATTACTGACCTGGCACAGGCTAGCATTACCTACAATATGTAGGGCCATATGGCCTGACATATCGGACAGGAAAAAATCGGACCGCCGTACCTGAAAATTCAGTGTAGTGCATAAGCGCCCTAAGTGTAGTGAATAAACGCGCGCCCCGCGCATTTTATTAATAAGTAACTTTTGTAAGAGTCGGTCACGAGATGGCTGACCAAAAATTATTATCTCGAATGCTCGCTACTTCGTGCTTGGGATAGCACGTTAAGACGTTGGTCCTGGCTGTATTTGCAGTTATTAATAGCGTCTAATCCACTTTGGGCCAGTGTGCAGGGTTATAGCCCATCCTCCTTAACCATCCAAACGTACGACGTAACAGGCCTGATTATGAAGTTAAACGAACAGGAGATGCCTTCAACAGGCGTATTCCTCTGCAAATATAGATATATAACGTCCAGCGAGCATATGCGTTTTACAAATCATAATGCCCCACTATGCACTATGAGCTCCTATAAAAATGCTTCCTTTTGGAGAATATTGAACTAAAGTCTCTGCCTGTTTCAGTGTTGGGTAAGTGTAGGCGTTGCACTGAACATGGGTCAACTGGGGTTGATATTCGGCATCTCCAGCACGTTGCTGCCACAACTAAGAGAGCCAGATTCAACTATAACCATCGATGAGGAATACGGCTCTTGGATAGGTGAGATCTCGTATCATCGAGTATGAATCGAATTCATATCGGGCATATACGTTAATATTGCAATCTAGGCTCCGGTGCCACTAAGCAGCAAGTATTCGAGATAGTCAGGTAAAGGTAATATGCTCGATACTTACTTCGATGAGTACACGATAATTTTCGCGCTAATGACACACTTCATAGAACATATGTGTATATAATAATAGGCCAGTTTATTGACAATTCTTCTAGCCGATTTTCAGCACAAGGTCCTCCGCTGTATATCTAGGAAATGATTGCATATTAGGTTTTGACTTTCACTAGACTAAATAAATGATATTGAATTTGTATCCTTTACACGAGACTTTTATTAACATTTACCATAAAATATGTAAGTAGACGAAACAACAATTAAAGATACTGATACAAAACGTCGAGGACGATGCAGCGGCAAATGCACATTATCAAATGTAAAATATTTTTTAAACACTATAAATAATTTTTAAACTCTGGTCAGGGAACGATTGCCTAGCAATGCTATGGTGATATTTCGTTTTATTTTACTACTTTGACATATCGCTTTGCAGGACAGATGCAGTTTGACCACACAATACTTGTATTGAGCCAGTTCTTTTTCTAGGCTTTATTTATAGCATGCATAGTCCACCATCTCAATCTAAAGATGCAACATGATTCATTTAACATCAATCTAACTTGTATTTCTGCACCAATTTATTTAACTATTTTTGCTGGCATATTCTCTGTAATTTAAATGTAAGTGAACGATAAGCTTCTATCATTGTTAAGAGTAATCTTACCCTGTGCACGTTTACGTTATCAGTTTGTATATGGTAGCGTAATGAGGAAACTTGTAACTAAAACTTTTATTTGCAAAGATATTTTAAGATACGTTCATTACTAAAATAGTTAATTCAATTCTTTTATTTCTTTTCAGCGGCACTACCGGGCATAACACTCATACTAGGCAACTTCACCGTGCCCATTCTAATGGCGAAATTTGGTAGAAAAAGAGCCAACTTGAGCAGCATTATCGTCCTCGGATTGGCATGGTGCTGTTTAGTGTTCGCCTCTAATGTCGCCATGCTACTTGCAGCACGTAGCCTCCACGGCATCGGAATGGGCATGATCTCAACCCTTGGACCGGTTCTTGTAGGGGAATACACCACACCCGCTAACAGAGGAGTGTTTCTTATGTTTTTATCTGTCTCCATCGCTGTCGGGGTCCTAACAGTACACGCGATGGGCTCCTATCTTAATTGGAAAACTGTATCTATCATCTGTATTTGCATCGGTATAATAGACTCAATCATAGTATTGTCTTCACCAGAATCACCTAGCTGGTTAGCCAGTCAAGGGAGGTACGATGAATGCAAAAGGACATTTCGATGGCTCAGAGGGGACACCGAAGAAGAAGAATTAGATAAATTGATAAACTCAAATGTCCTGGCAAGGCAAAAAGATGAAGACTGCAGTAATAAAGACACTTTTGTAATGAAATTAAAAAAAGATATCGTGTATATAACAGACACTATTAAAAGAAGAGAGTTTTACATGCCTATAGTAATAATGTTTCATGTATACGGATTGAGTCAATGGAGCGCTGTGAATATTTTTTGTTCATATGGCGTAGACCTTATACACATGGTGATCGGAAAAGATGTCGATGTGCCTTTGATATTGATATCTCTTGATTTCCAGCGATCTGTTTCTACAGCTGTGGGTCTAATTATAGTAAAGAAAGTGAAAAGAAAGACTCTAATGAATTTAAGTGTCGGGTTGAATCTATTAGCTATGACAGTCACAGCTGGATATGTGTTCTTGAGGAATCGTGACTTTTTACCATACGATAGCAGTTACATTGGTGTGGCCTTAATGCATATTCATATGTTTTCAATTGCGACTGGAGCGATGCCTCTCGGATTCATTCTGGCTGGTGAGCTATTCCCCTTACAATTCAAAAGTTTGGCTGGAGGAATCAGTGCGGTATGCCTCTCTCTCACTGTTTTCGTTTCTATTAAAACTGTGCCATTTTTTCTCAATAATCTACAATTATACGGCACTTTCATGCTATACGTTGGTTTAGAAATAATCTGCCTTATGATGGCTAATGTGTTGCTTCCTGAGACTAAAGACAGGACTCTGCAAGACATAGAAAATGAGTTTAAAAATAAATGTGTCCGTCCTACTACATAAATATACATACTGGAAAAATTACGAGTAAGCCAGACAGTCCGTATGAGAAATATGGAGACTGACTGATTTACACTTCCAGTTAACAATCATCATTACCAGCCCTTTTACGCTACTGTGGGGACGCCAGTGCTTAGGCTCAGGCCTTCCTTATGGATGCTTAAGGAGGATAGGCCATGACCCTCTACGCTGGCCCAATGCGGATTGAAGGGTAGTTAACAATGCCATAATGTTATTTTCGTTTTTAGCAATAAGACCGCCTTTTCCCACTTTAATCATAAGTTATCTGTAAATTGTTATTATTATGTGTGGAATAAAATGTTTTTCTATCTATCTAGGACTAAAATTTTCTAGACAAAAGTGATATATTTTATATACTATTTATTCATACATTTTATCTATACATATTTATTAATGTGCTTGAAATGTATGTGTACGTTAAATACAATTTAGTTACTGTCGCTGATATTTTTTTTTTACCAACAATAGGGATGATATAACAATAGGGAACTTTTTTTTATATTTTGTTCGATAACTTTTTGCCATTTTGTAGATATGGACATGATCCAATTGCTATAGAAAGTTTGATCAAAAAACCATAAATGGTTTTGGTAGTCCTCGCGTGATGTTAACCTGACATTGCCTGTCAGGACTAACAGCAAAACTCTCTTAATTTTTGCTGAGTGGCAAAAGATGTGTGAGGTCTAGCATTATCATGACGAAAAACCACACCCCTTTTATTGATTAATTGTGGCCACTTTCTTCTGGCTTCTTGCTTTAATCTCATCAGTTGTTCGCAGCACAGTTCAAAATGGATAGTTCTGCCTGTCGGAAACAGCTCATAAAGAATAATGCCCTGCCAATCCCACCACACACACAGAATCACCTTATTGCGAGTTAATCCGGGTTTCGCCATGGTCTGTGAAGCCTGGCCTACCTTTGACTACAACCTTTTCGCACGTTTTTGTCTTACGTCATTCACTTTTCATCACCAGTTATTTTTTTTTATTTTTTATTAAGCTGAATTGGTCTTAGTACGGATTCAATGAAGAGTTTGCTTTAGATCCCCCTTATGAGGGGGGATCGTACCAACTCCTATCAGTAGGAGAGGCGCTGAAGATGAATGACGATGAGTGGAGGAGGTTGGGCTTAACCCGGGAGCTTCTTGATGGTCCACGGACCCCTCCATAGGGGTAGAGAGAGAGAAAGGGGACAGAGGGTGACTAGAAAGAGGGAACGAGGGTCGAAGAATGGTGAAAGAAGAAAAGTGAGGGTGTGGTGAGGATAGCACCCCCGTTCCCAGAAAGAAATGAATGATTGGTGAGGGTATGGATGATCAGATGAGTGCTGAATGATGAATAGGGTGTGAGGGTGCTGGGGATGATGCTGCGGCCCCGCCGCCCCGCGACCGCATACACCAGGGGTGGCTGCGGTCGCGGGACGCCGGGGCCGTCAAGGCACCCAGTGTGTGTGATGCTCTTGCAGCTAGCATCGGGATGGTCCGGTGTCGAGAAGCAGCTGTGATCCCTGTTGATCGCTCGACACTGCGTAGATGTTTCAGTGAAGCCTGAGGGGGCCTCGGCTCCGCACAGATTTTCCATGGAGTTCGAGGGGGCCCAGGGGGGGCCCAGTAAGTCCAGGGGGGGACCCAGAGGGGTCCAGAAGGGGCCAAGGGGGCTCAGGGAGCCCTCGAGTGCTTGAGTGCTGAGTTGCTGAGTGGGCCTAAGGGCCTGGGGGGGCCTCACTCAGAGAAGGTATGCTAAATGGACAGAGAATAATAAAGGGAACCAGGAGACAACACAACGGGGAAAAGTTGAATTGAATACAGCACTGCTCGGACAAGTATTCTGCCCGAATGGCGCCAGATCGCCATTGCAAGGGTTAGGAGAGGGAACCTCTTTCCCGACCGGCTCCAGGATTCTACGGCGCGGGTCCTCCAATTCCGCTCCGCAGTCCGGTCCGGAAGAGTGATTGATTGTAAGGATGTGGGGGGGAGCCCCTTCCCCGGCCAGGCCCCGAAGATCCCGCCGCAGGCCCTGGAGCGGCCTAGCGACCCCGGGTTCGACTCCTTTATTATTTTTTTTTGTGTATAGAATTAAAGGAAGTTAGTTATTAATTGTGAAATGTATTAAATGTAATGGGCGAGGGGCCGCCCCCCCCGACCGGCCCCCGGAGCCGCGGACGCGGGTCCACCAGTTCCGCTCCACGACTCCGAACGCCGACCAGGGGAGCGGCCCGGCGATCCCGAATTCGATTCCTTTGTTATTTTTTGTATAAATTAAAGAAAGTTAATTTTTACTTGCGAAACATATTAAGTGCAGTGGGTTGGGGGCCGCCCACCCGACCGGCCCCCGGAGCCGTAAAAGCGGGTCCACCAGTTCCACTTCACGACCCCGGACGCCGACCGGGGGAGCGATCTAGTGATCCCGAGTTCGATTCCTTTATTATTTTTGTATAGGGTTAAAGAAAGTTAATTACTATTTGTGTAGTATATTAAATGTAATGGGCGAGGGGCCGCCCCTCCGACCGGCCCCCGGAGCCGCGGACGCGGGTCCACCAGTTACGCTTCACGACCCCGGACGCCGACCGGTGGGGCGGCCCAGTGATCCCGAGTTCGATTCCTTTACTATTTTGTATAGAGTTAAAGAAGGTTAATTATTGCTTGTGAAATATGTCAAATTTAATGGGCAAGGGGCCGCCCCCCCGACCGGCCCCCGGAGCTGCGGACGCGGGTCCACCAGTCCCGCTCCACGACTCCGAGCGCCGACCAGGGGAGCGGCCCAGTGATCCCGAATTCGATTCCTTTGTTATTTTGTATGAAATTAAGGAAGGTTAATTATTGCTTGTGAAATATATTAAATGTAATGTAATGGGTTGGGGACCGCCCACCCGACCGGCCCCCGGAGCCGCAAAAGCGGGTCCACCAGTTCCGCTTCACGACCCCGGACGCCGACCGGGGGAGCGATCTAGTGATCCCGAGTTCGATTCCTTTAAAGATATTGTTAAGCGATGCTCCCCTTAAAGTACAGTTGCTTAATCCTAGGGTTCTATTTCTAATCACTTATTGTTTATATGTGTGTGCAACTGTATATTAATATTGATATTATATAATGAGTATTGTATAAAAGAAATATAGCATTATATGCATTATTCCCCTTTTGGGCGAGATTGGATAATAGTATTAATTTTGAATACTTATTCTAATATTTACATGGATACATTGGTTGTAATACAATTGGTTGGTTAATAAATCGAGATTTGTATATTGATCATTGATTAGAGTTACACGACAATTACTAATTATTATATACAATTTCAATTTTGTATTTTATACAATGATTAGTTGGTAATGGGCATGTGTCGTTATCTGTACATAGTTTTTACAATTGGATGAAGTTAAGTTGGATAATTGGATATATACGCTGATTAATTGTGTAGTATAATGTGCTTACTTACTTGCTAATGTATTTATATATAATCAATATATTGGAACATACATTGGACATTTTCATTTAGTTCTAATTGGGGTTGGGATTGAGTCCTTGTATTTGTATATATATATATATCTTTTTCTTTTCCTTTTTTTTTATTTTCACTTTTTTTTTCTTTTTTTTTCCTTTTCCTTGTTTTCCTTCCCTTTCCCTTTTCCTTTTTTTTTCCCCCTCCCCCCTTTCCCCATTTCAATAATATCAATAACAATAATGTCAATCCTATCATTCCTAACCATGCTAACAATTCTTTCATTTCTAATAATACTGACAATCCTAACAGTCCTTCTTTCATTCATCATCTTACTAACAATCCTAACAATCCTACATTCCTAACAGTATTAGCAATCATAGAATTATTAATTAGATTAAATTAACGTACGTTAACTTAAATACCTTGGATAAATTTAAATTGATTTGAGTAATTATGTAAGTATTATTCTCATTAAAATTAACAAAACTAACAAAACTAATTCTGAGGGGGGTGGAAGATGTGGGGGCACACGGCCTTGTGAGCATTGCTTAACTTGATTTTAATTTTAATCTTAATATTGAGTAATTGACAATAATCACAAAGAACAATTAATTAATTAATAATAATTAGCTGGTTTACTTAATTTATTAATCACGAATTGAAAAAAGGGACTCTAGTAATAACTGATTATGATAATTGTTGGTTGATTTCCAGGCAGAAGCAGTTGTGATGATACTTCCAGATGGGCGGCGCCATTGGTACACTATCACTTCACTGTTCACTATTAGGTACCGCTTAGTCCATTAAAAAGCTCACTTGTTCTCCAAATTGGTCCGTTGTTAGGATTGTAAGGATGATGGAGTATCCTAACTTGATGGTACGAGCCGGTTTTAGTGTCCTGGAGATGGAAAAGAAAGCACTCGCGAGGTTGACTAGATCCACAGTCTTTCACTTGATAATAGTGTTGAAGAAAAACAGCAAATTACAGTCCAATCCACTATGTTGTTAGGATTGTTAGGATGATGGAGTATCCTAACTTAATGAAAATCGGCCAATTTCGAGCCCTGAAGATGGAAAAATAGTACTCGCGAGGTTGCCTAGCTCCACAGTCTTTCATTTGATAATATTGTTGAAGAAAAACGGCGAATTACAGTCCAATCCGGGATGTTGTTAGGATTGTTAGGATGATGGAGTATCCTAACTTGATGAAAAACGGCCAGTTTTCGAGCCCTGAAGATGGAAAAAAGAGCACTCGCGAGGTTGCCTAGGTCCACAGTCTTTCACTTGATAATAGTATTGAAGAAAAACGGCAGATTACAGTCTAATCCGAGATGTTGTTAGGATTGTTAGGATGACGGAGTAACCTAACTTGATAAAGAAAAGGGCCAATTCCGAGCCCTGGAAGGCGAAAAAGCACTCGCGAGGTAGCTGGGCTACACTGTCTCTCACTTATTGTTTGATTTAGCGCACTTTTTGAATGATTTTGATGAAATTTTTGTTAAATTTGAATATGGAAAGAACCGATCCTAACCTAACATCCTAACACCTGTTAGGATGGTTAGGATTGCTAAGGCGGGAGCCGCCAGATGGACGCGTGCGCTCCCCACGACGCCACGAGCCACTACCAGTTATTAGCTTTTTC